TGAGATCCATTTGACTTATACACCCTCAAAATTGCGAGTTAATTGCGAAAATACTTAGTTTAAAAAAAAATGCCAAAAAATCGCTCTTTGCTCAAAATTTTGATGGTCTACGAGTCAAACGGACTATAGATTCGGATTCAGCGGGTCGAAATATATATCGGTAGGTAGGTCTAGTTAAATACATTGAATAATTTATCGTATTTTATGTTCGCAAAAATACCAATCACTTTCACATTGCAGGGAACAAATTTTTCGATTTTTAACTTCCGTTATCGCACATGTACATAACTTTCAGCCACATGAAACCGATAAATGTGTACATTTGTACAAAACCTTGGAATTGCAGAGCTTTTTTATGTCTTATACTTTTAAGGGTCATTGAATAATAAAATGAAAACCACCCTGTTAAAGAATAAATGCATTTTCTGAAGCTTCACGGATTAAGTAGATTAGGAATTGAAGAAATGTCACTAAAATTTTAGAGAAAACCACCAAATTAAGTTGTATTGCAAATTAGAATCAAAACTTCTCATATCGTGTCATATTATTTATTAACATACATACATATTAATGTTAAATGTATCACATTAAAGTGTGCATTAGCGATTTGTGGTCACCAAAAGTGATAAGGCAGGAAACAAGTATTTATTTTATTACATATGTACTACCCAGTGTGAAGCTGTAGAGTTTGGCAAAGGATGCAGTAATCTAAATAAGTGAATACCATAAATTGAAAACTATGTACATATTTATGTATGTATGTATGAATATCAACGGAATTGTAACCGAGCGCTTATCGTCTCAGCAACATATTTAGTAGTAATTATAGAAAAAAAAACGACACTTTAAAACCCTACTGGCCACTTTATAGGCACGCGCGCCGAATCTTTTAAAACCTCTCTGTATAATTTATGATACATCACTGGCACAAAATAAAAGCTCATTGCTTTAAATTGAACTTTCGCTTATATAGTGAGGAAATATTTGTAACTTTCAAAAATTTTGCTTAAAATTTTAACTACATATACATTACCCGTTTACTTACATTGTGATGCTTGTTTGCGTAATCGTAAAACTGTTGGCGTTGAGTAAGGCTACTAACTTTTTCACTGGGTAAAAATTTATGTAGCATACATATGTGCATACACATGATTTGCGGTTTATTATTCACTTACACTGCATAAGCACATGGGCCCACCAAAAAAAAAAAAAAAAATTAATTCATGATATCCGAAATTTAAATTTACGTCAGAGCAGTTTCAGTCTTAAAGCAGTGCAGATCGACATATGTATATTTCGAAATATTTAAGAAACAATTTTAAAACGCGGCGATGTCCACTTTAACAAAAACGGCAATTATCATCTGCATATTGAGCTCAACCTACGCTATAGAAAGTCTTTATCCTATTTGCAACGATGGTGTATGCAATTGTGTATCAGGCACCTATGAGGAAATCGATGCTGGCGGCCTTAAATACTGCGCAACTGAGAGCAACGAATCTTGCACGGAACACGCCGTAAGAATTTCTACAACAGTTTGTGAATGTAAAAAAGGCTACAAGTTCAATCAAAATCGCACAGAGTGCCTTCCAATGGATAACTTTGTTCCGAATATGCCTGTAACTGCCCAGGCCACAGATGAAAGTTTTTTAAGTAAAAACACTGCAACAACTGGAAATACAGCAACAACAGTTGAGACGGCCATGGAAAGTGCCTTTGCTGATCTAGAGCAGGCGCGGCTAAAAGAAAGATGTGACAAAACAAAATTTTTTTTGCAAGTCGGAATAGTTTTAAATGTTTTTGCGCTTTTAGTTTTACTTACGTCTATGTATTGTGTTTTCAAGGGAAAGTGTTAGAAAATTTTATATGTAATTCAGAGTTTGATTATAAATGACTAAAAATGCAGTCGATTTGACATATTTTCCTTCTAATTAAATGCAATTGGTGTAGACTTTAAATTTTTGAATTTTGAAAAAATATGATATTTAAGAATTTAATGCGAATAAATTACGATAAGTGGAGTAAAGTGAATAAATACGTATCAATAAAATATTGCTTGCACTTGTTTATTATATACGATCTAAAAGTTATGAAAATAAACAAAAATGCTTCAAAAAGATGCGGTAATACATATTAAAAATAAAAATATTCCGACGGATTGATAAACTCCTCCGGTTTTTGTGGCTTTATGGACCCTATAGTCCAAAATTTTTTGGCAGTAATACTGTAAGGTACATGCCAGATTAATCAAGAGTCTTGAGGAATTTTCCGTTGATTCTGGAAGTGTCCCGCTGTTGTAATTGCCCTTCTATAGGTGCTTTTCGCTGGGCCGTGTTTGGGTGGAGGTGCTCGTGTGCGTTTAACATAAGGATAGATTCACAATACAGATACACACGAAACGATTACATTGAACATACACTTTTTCTCTTTTATTTATATACATATGTACATCGAAATGTAACATTGTTCACACGGTTGTAAGAGCCAGTGGCTCGCCTTTCAAAATTAAAAAAAAAAAAACAGATTATATAAAAACATAATATAGCAAACCTCCGAGTGTATTTTGTGCCATGAAAAACAGCTTCTCATAAAAATACAATCGCCGTTCGGAGTCGGCCTAAAACTGTAGGTCAACATCAAGGCGCACGCCACAAATCGGAGGAGAAGCTCGGCCAAACACTAACATATGTGTAAGCGCTAATCTATTATTAATATAGCGATCGGTCCGATGAGTTAACAATTTTCTTTTACGTCTATTGACACAAAAAATATTTATTGACCCAATACTTAATTTTTTTTTTTAACTACATATACTCCGAAAAGTAACAGGAATTGACAGTTAAGTTTTTTTTTTTTTCTTATATTGACTTGGTTAAGTTGCCTATTTTGCGATTTTTTCCATATTTTTCTTTCTTGTTCCTATATCCTTTTTTCCTCTTTTAGTTATGCTTTTCATGATTTTTTTGAACATGTGACATGTGTAAAATATGTATGCATTTTTGTTTTTATTATTTAATCCTGTTGTATTTTGCCTTTTGTCTTTCTTGTTTTTTTTTTTGTTTTAGTAGTGGATTTTTTTTTAATTTATTTTTTTTATTCTATTTTAAAAAATACAAAGTTCTGGCTTCTGACCTTCGGCCTAGAGTGCTCCATCTGGTTTGGTTTCTCGCAAGAATTTATTAGCTCTTTAAACAGCCCAGGTTTTTTAGTAGTGCTAATTTCAATTAAGGTCTTGTAAGTGTCGAAAAAATTTAATTTCATTCTCATAGCATTGTACTTGTCACCATGGAAGATCTGATGATAATTCCTCCTTTTTTGAAGTCGGTTAAAAAAGGAAACACAGTATTCCCCGCTTAATTGTCCCCCCGTTAATTGATTTCTCCGCTTATCTGAATTGCCATATCGGTACAAAAAAATTGTATGGCTTATATTTTTTCGTTTAAAGTTTAAACTATATAAACATCATTCAATTTAAAATGCACAGATTCAATTTCTTTTAATTAATTAGGCTGTCCAATTTAACGGAAATTTTGTAATTGAACGAACTGTTCAATCAAACAAGTATCGGTTAATTGATTCCGCATTTAATTGGACCAAAAATTGTGCAATTTTTGAAGTGCAATCAAGCGGGGAATACTGTATATATCAGGCTTTTCTTGATTCTGGCCGAGTTCAATAATACACGCTAGTCGTTTGCTTTCTGTGGCAACTGAAGCTACACAGTGGAGCAAATGAAGGTGGTCGCGGACAAATTTGAGGTCTCAATTTTAATCTGATTTTAAATTCATTTCTATAAATAAAAGCTGACAAAACTGCTTATCTAACGGGGAAAAAATTTTTTTTTTTTGCTTACAATAAAGTAAGTAAGTAAGTAATAAAGCAAAAGATCTGCACACTCTCTCTGCAGGAATGTCATTTTCTTGGCCATTATTGGCTTTATTTCTTTTTTTAATTTAATAATTAATATTTTTTATAAATGTCTAGCTCATTATACATATAACAACGTGTGATAGTAAATTTTAAACAAAAAACAAAAAAACAAAAAATTATATGTTAAGGACTTATATAAACTCGATAACATCCTTGAATTTCGACCTTCTAACTGTATCAGCTTAAGAATTACCTATTCGTCCTTGTTAATCCAAAAATTTTATTTAATTTTTTTTTATTATAAAGAAATTTCCTCTTGCATTTGACACCCATATTTTTATTCTACATTGCATTGAATGTTTTAAATAATTTTTGGAATCAATCATATCTTTTAAATTACAAAGTCCTTTAAAATAAATCCTTACGTCAGAGAGAAAACGCCACTTTAAATAAAAAATTAGGTTTCAAACCCATTTATTTATAATTTATTTTATAGTAGGAAAGCTTCTCAAACAATATTGAAGCATTTTTTCGATTTATGTTGTTGAAAAGCAATGAATATCTAGATTACGCGACTAATCCAGTGATCTCGGGATTGTGATAATGACATCCCGAAAATCCCGGGATCGAAAAAGCTGAAAAACTAACATCCCTAATGCACACTTGCAAATTTAAGGCCACATTAAAACAAAATTGCCTGCATTTAATGAGGTAGAAATTTGTTACCGAATGGTACTTTATGACAAGGACTGCATTTTTGGCAATTTTCCAAAAATTTTTTTAAATAAGCCATGCCCAAATTGAAAAAATTAAAAAAAAAAAATAATTAAACCCGAACTTCAGCTTGAACGCCAATTAACACTTTAACACTTAAAAATATTATTGCTTTGGAAATTTCTCACTGTGTAGCCATGGCTAGATGGCAAGGGCTTGCATTGGTTCAGTCCTTCAACCGTAATCGCGAATGGCAAAATCAATGTGATTATTTTATTTACTTCATTTTAATCGTGGTAATTCTTTACTTACTTACTTACATACATACGTACATATGTACCTACACATGTATCTACATATGTTTGTAATTCCTTTGAATGCGAGATGCTTTAAAAAAGCACAGAGTGAAGATAAATGATGGTGAGTGATGCATACGTGCAACCAAGTATGAGTTGGGAAAGAACAACAATGTAAGGAAACCCGTATTCAGTTTCTAGCAACGCTGCAGGAACGACGTACCTAGGTACATAAAGTGCTGAAAGAAAAATTCTGATTCGAATTTATTAACTGGAACTCAAAATGTTTCACTTGCACCCACTATTCCTGACCTTTACATTCGTTTGCTATCCAGCGTTCTTCATTAAAAATCATATAAAAGTGATTGCTCTTGCCGCAACGGATATCGGCTACCTTGACGCGGTGGAAAATTCACCTACAACAAAAGCCGATGCCAGCAACACAGCCGCTGCAGGTAAGCAAGCAACAAGTGCTTAAACCGATTTGAATGCATTAATAAATACATATTTAATTATTCTACAACAGCGCTCGAAATGGATATTTTAATGCCACCCATTGAATTTACGGAATCTATTGCAGCCATAGCAGATGTCACCGCAGCAACGGCTAACGGAAAGATGAGTGATGGCGATAAGGACGATAGTACGCGCACACCAAATTGGTGGCACACCTATGATGCTTTGATGGTAGCGCTTGGCATGACTGTAATGTTAGTGTTAATGGTTTTTATCACACATTGCATCTGGCGGCGGCACATAGAACGACGCGCCTTGGAGTGGGAAGGTGAGCGAATGCGCCTAATGACATCAAGTAACTTTCCATTGGATTAATTTATGTTTTATTTATTTCAGCTGAAAGCGCCAGAATCTTCTCTAGCACACCCTGCTTTATTGATCGAAGCCAGATATTGGTCTACTAGATTAAATGAGTTGTATGACAAAGCTAACTATATATTTTTTAGAATAGCACTACGTATGTACCTAACTTAAGGCGTTTGCGATTGCATTTTTGCATCATTCAAGTTTTGAATAAATAAATAAGTTTTATTTTGTGTGTAAGTCGCGAGCTTAAATAAACTGGCTCCGAGGAAGCGGGCGCCGTCAATGGGCGCTATCCCCAAAGCTTTTGGTGTCAGCGTCGTCGGGTGCATGGACGTGCATGGGAAGAGATATTGTGTGTTGTCTGGACCTTCGCCACATGCTAGGCAGTGGTTTGCCACTTCTGAGTTCTGGCGAGAGAGATAACTGTTGAGGCTGTGGCACTAGCCTGAACGGAGTTATGCTAGGGTGCATTTGGTCTCTCTCGGCAGTTCTGCTTCTTCTATGCTGATGCTCAAGGGCGACCATCTAGAACGATGTTGTCTTTAGGGCTGCTGAGGCTCCTGCTGAGTGCAACGCTATGTAGGTTGTTGGGCGCCACTGTGTATCGCGCCGTGTTGATTGAATTGTCTACGTCTGTTCTTCAAAAGTGCATTTGTCACCTCTCGTGACGGAGGAGCGGAACATTCTTAAGCAGGACGCTGTTGGAGTTGGTTTCCAGCGACTAGTTGTTACGATAGCATGGAGTTGTGCTCCTTCTGGCTTTCTTCGTGAAGAGGCTACTCGGAAGACTTGCCGGACAGCCGCGTTCTGGCATGTTTGTAGATTTCTCTACTGCGTGTCGCTCTTTACTGCCGACCACATTGGTGCTGTGTAATTAACCACTGACGACCGCTTTCTTTGTACGTCGTGAGTAGAGTATCTTTGAGCGCTTTAGCCACCTCTAAATCGCTTTTGATTGATCTAAAACTTTGCATACTTTAGTCTTTAAGCTATTCACACATTTCTAGGGGGTCAGACCGAGAATCAAAACACTTTTATTTTTCTCCATATAACCAGGGGCCACTTTAATATACGTATTTATGTGCATAGTATTTTCTGGTAGAAAACTTAAAGCTTTTTCTTCTTTTGAAAGCTTACTATTCTCAGTGGCATTCAAACTGTGGACTCACAATGAGACTAGAAATCGATTTTGGCTTCCTCTCCGTGATAACAGGGTGCGACAGTCAATTTTACACACACAAAATTAATATATTCGTGATACCATGGGCCAAATACAGTAAAACTGCGTTTTTAGTTTTTCTTTCTAACGTCAGGATTTGTTTTAAAGGGCTTGAAAAATATGATTACTTAAAAAAATTAAAAAAAATTCAAAGCAATGTAGAAAAACAAAATGGGTATCAAAGTAAAGAAAAAATTACTTAGAATTAAGGAAGATTTAATATTTTGGTGCGTATGGACGAGAAGGTATTGAAAATTTACTTTTAAAACTTTATCCTTGAATATCCTATGACATTTTGCAACAATAATTTTTGAGAAAATTATATGTTAGGGACTAAAATACACTCAATCACATCCTCGCATTTCGTCCTCCTAACTTTATAAGCCCAAAAAAATTAAATTTATTAAAAGAAAATTTTCAAATTTTCTCTTTCATTTGGTGCCCATATTGTTATTCTACATTGCATTGAATTTTTCTAAATAATTTTTAGAATTAAGCATATCTCATAAATTATAAAGTCCTTTAACCCTAGAACACACACCCAGAAAATACCACGTAAACACACACCCGGGATACGTTTGTACCCGGGACCTTATTTTGCGGTTTTTTTAATGCTTATTCAACCGATTTCTATGATTTTTTTTT